GAGCTAAAAGATTACTGTAATATTGTTGAAAATGTAACGGATAGTATTGTAGTTTTTAAAATATCCCGTGTATTATCACTTGATGACAAAGATACGTATCTATTTATCAATTATTTTCCTCCAGCGAATAGTACTTACTATGAAAACCATGATGTAGATCTTTTTGTAAAACTAGAAGAAAGTATTTCCACACAGTGTAACCCTTACACATGTAATATATTAGCTATTGGAGATTTTAATAGTCGAACCGGAGAAGTTGATGATTTTATTACATCTGATCGAATTGGTAATATATCTTGTAACATCCTATCTAATATCGTGAGCTATTTACCTGATAATAACATGAAAAAACGTACAAGCATGGATAAGACTGTTAACCAATTTGGGAGACAATTAATCTCTCTGTGTAAAACAACCGGTTTACGTATTATAAATGGAAGACACACCGATGATGCTATAGGAAATGTTACTTTTTATAATGCAAGAGGTTCGAGTGTCATAGATTATGTATTAACACACGAGTCATGTTTTGAAATTGTTAAAAGTATTGAAGTTGGAGTTTTTAACATATATTCTGACCATTGTCCGGTCATTTTTTCCATTTGTGTAAATAAAGGTATGTCAGATAACGTGGCTGATGAGTGTTCCGTGAGTCAGCATGAGAGATTACAGCGTGTGAATGTGAAATGGAAGGATGCGAATACAGAGGAAGTTACGAGAGTACTAGAGAGAAATATTGATAGTTTAATAGATATCTGTAATGTATCTGATCTCAGCAAAGCTAGTATTGATATGAGTGTAGATACGTTCGCATGTGAACTTAATAATCTTATTTTACCTTTTTGTACTAGTAGTAATAATGTTATACGTAATAATGTGAGAAACTCAGACAGAGTTGATGATAAACCATGGTTTAACGTACATTGTAAACGATTATATAGAGAGTATAAAAACGCCCTTTACACGTTTAATAATTGTAAAAACGATGAAAATCGTATTAGTCTTACTAATAAGAAAAAAATGTATAAAAAGTTGGAATATAAACTTAAAAAAGAATACAAATGCCATCAAGGTAACATGTTAAACTATATGAGAAAACATAATCCTAGGGCATTCTATAAACACTTTAAAAATCGAAAAAAGAATGTAAAAAGTGAACTGAATGCAACCGATTTTTTCGATCATTTCCAAAAGTTAGCTATATCCAGCCCAACCAATAACGATGACGTTAACGATTTTTTGCTTGAACATGACACTAACGGTCCAAATGTTACATTTGAAGAGTTAGACGTTAATATAACAGAGTCTGAGATATTGTGTGCAATAAAGAAATTAAATACAAATAAGGCATGTGGTCCTGATGGCATTTTAAACGAATACATGATTAAATTTAAGACTGTTTTATTGCCATGCTTAGTTATTTTATTCAACAATATACTCACATCCGGGCACTTTCCGGAAACATGGTCTAAAGGTAATATTGTGCCTGTCTTTAAGAAGGGAGATGCAAATAATACTAATAATTACAGAGGTATTACTCTAGTTAGCTGTTTGGGAAAACTTTTTACGTCAATCATTAATAATAGACTGATGTCATTTGATAAGAAATACAGTAAGATAACTGACGCTCAATTTGGATTTAGAAAAAATCTTTCAACTATAGACGCTATATTTGCATTACAGGCCATAATTAATCGGAGTCTTAAACATAAGAAACGATTGTATTGTTGTTTTATTGATTATACAAAAGCATTTGATTTTATTAATCGACAAAATATGTGGTTCAAATTAATAAGGGAAGGAATTGATGGAAAGTTATTAGTGTTAATAAGGTCTTTGTATAATAACGTAAAATGTTGTGTTAAGTATAATGGTTCATTATCTGACTTCTTCAATTGTGTAAACGGATTGTTTCAAGGGGAAATTTTGTCTCCATTATTGTTTTCATTATATGTAAATGACTGTGAGATGCAATTTTTAATTGACAACTGTCCATCGATAGAAATTCAAACTTTAAATCTGTTCCTGCTGATGTACGCAGATGACATGGTAATTTTTTCGGAAACACCAGAAGGCTTGCAAGACATGTTAAATTCTTTAGAAGCATTTACAAAAAAGTGGGATCTAACGGTCAATACAGATAAAACAAAAGTGCTGGTTTTTAGAAATGGTGGTATTTTAAGAAACAATGGAAATTGGACATATAACGGATGTCCTTTGGAAATCGTAAATGAATTTAATTATCTAGGTATGTTGTTAAATTACAACGGCACTTTCAGAAAAACACAGCAAAAAATAGCAGATCAAGGAAGGAAAGCTTTATTTTCAGTTATGAATGTATGTCGTAATAATTATTTTAATATTGAAACCCAACTATCAGTATTTGATACATATGTAAACAGTATTTTGTGTTACGGTTCAGAAATATGGGGTTTTCATAAAGCCCCGGATGTTGAAAAAATACATATTATGTTTTGTAAAAAATTACTCGGTGTGCGTAAAAATACTTGTAATGCTATGGTCTATTTAGAGCTTGGTAGATATCCATTATCACTGCTGAGGAAATTCAGAATTTTTAAGTATTGGATAAAGATTATAAATACTGATAATTGCATTTTAAAATCATGTTATGAAGACATGTTAGTGCGTAACGACAAATGGGTAATTAATATCAAGAATGAATTATATAGAATAGGTCTAGGTTACATATGGCAAACAGATAACATTGATAATAGCTGTTTGATTATAATTAAAGAAAGACTTTTAGATATTTATAGACAAGATTGTATAGAACAAATTAGAACATCATCAAAAGGATTTTTTTATACATGACTTAACAAAGAAGTTGGTATACAGGGTTATTTAAGAAAATCGTTTATGAAAGGTTACTTAAAAGAAATAACAAAAATTCGGCTTTCAGCCCATACTTTAAATGTAGAGAAAGGTCGTTGTCAAAATATTCCGCGACTTTTAAGAATCTGTACCGCTTGTGATATAGATGATGTCGAAGATGAATTTCATTTTATTCTTAAATGCCCCTGTTATTCTGATTTACGTGAGAATGTTTTAAAAAAGTACTATTGTAAAAAACCGAGCATGTTTAAATTAATTCAGTTATTTAACGGACAAAACACAAATGAATTAGCAAAATTGGCCAAATACATTAAAGCTGCAAATTCAAGAAGAGCTTTATAAACATAAGTAGTTATGCTCTCCGAGTGTTTTGTCTCGTCTGTGTATTTATTAGTATTTTCGATATTTGTCAATGTTATGAGAAAGTATATATATATATATATATATATATATCATGTATATGTGTTACACTGATGAGTCGCAAGACTCAAAGTTAATAAAGAACTTGAACTTGTTGTTTTCTACTGCACGCGACAGACTAGTCGGGTAAACGTACAGATGAGTTTGTTGTTTCCTACTGCACGCGACAGGCTAGTCGGGTACACATACAGATGTGTTTGTTGTTTTCTACTGCACGCGACAGGCTAGTCGGACAAACGTACAGATGTGTTTGTTGTTTCCTACTGCACGCGACAGGCTAGTCGGGTACACGTACAGATGTGTTTGTTGTTTTCTACTGCACGCGACAGGCTAGTCGTGTACACGTACATATGTGCTTGTTGTTTTCTACTGCACCCGACAGGCTACTCGGACAAACATACAGATGTGTTTGTTGTTTTCCTACTGCACGCGACAGGCTAGTCGGACAAACATACAGATGTGCTTGTTGTTTTCTACTGCACGCGACAGGCTAGTCGGGTACACGTACATATGTGCTTGTTGTTTTCTACTGCACGCGACAGGCTAGTCGGACAAACATACAGATGTGTTTGTTGTTTCTGACGTAGTATAGAGTAGAAGACCAGAATCATTGTTACAAGTCAACAACAAAACAAAACCAGGTTGTGACAAAACATACCCTTGTCCGTACCCTACCGAGTGAGAGCCGCGTGCTCATAAAACAAACACAATACTTTATGTTTAAACGTGGATTGATATCATTTGTTTACAGAAAATAACAATTAAATATCAACAGAAACATCTTTAAACAACATTCTAAAATGTTTACCAACGACTAACTTAAACTGAACACCTTTAATATTAACGACCGCTAACTTCAAACTGATACTGAAATGGTTATAACTCCAGGTATGGTCTAACATACCTCACTGAAACCTAAGCACCACTAACGACCCTGGTTTGTTCCAGTAAGACGTTTATTCAACGGGGATTATATTTTATTTACGGAAAATATATAATAAACTTTATTCACTTTCAAGCTAGTGCAGAAAAATCTTGTTCCTACACAATTGATCACAGTGTTATCACATTTGTAGTGTTATCACATTTGTAGTGTTATCACATCTGTAGTGTTATCACATTTGTATATCAGCTTTCTCTCTGTACTCGTTATAGTCAAACTCCAAATACATTTAACGCTCATATCATCCACAGATTTCTAATTTGCGTCTTATTTTAAACATTAGAATTTACTAGCAAAATGTATCGTTTATGGCACAACCCGTTAGTCAAAACCAGATATACGCATTTTAAAACAAATGATATCTAGTTTTTACGAAAGGAAACTGCAACAATTGATGAATTATGCTATTTTCTAAAATACATAAAACAAACGATGTCTTTGATCTTATGTTTTAAATGCGTATATGTAGTTTTTACTAATGAGAACTGCCACAATCGATACATTAAGCTAATATTTAGACTTAATATCTTTATGGTCCTATAACACACATTGCTATTGACGACAAACTTAATAAAATACCGGCACGGCTTTATGTAAGATTGCCAGCAATAGAAATGTGTGTTATAGGACCATTATAATATTTGCTAAAATATTTATTATTAACATTTACATTTTGATAGAGTAGTCATTCTTTGAACAGCGAAGTAAGTCTCGACAACAATGAAATTGATGACGTCACAATAGAGATTGATGACGTTACAATAGCAAATGTTGTTATAGTCTCATAACAACATTTGCCTTCTCAATACATCACAATGGAAGGATGCAGAGAAAATGTAAAAATAAAATAAAAGATGTTTTGAATGTATCACTTCCTTAAGTGACCTTAGCTGTTGATAGGACGTTGAACCCTGTACACCCAACCCGATCATAAAGGGGTTATCCCAGGTCCAGGTATGATGGATTCGTACGGTAAATTTAAATTTCGATGTTGTTCTGTTGTGTTGGATGTTTCGGATGAATGAAGTCCGAAATGGCAACAACAACATCATTAACTCAAAAATGATGAAACTAGGACAAAATAATGAACAAAGGAAGATTAACGCGAACTGTCAATCGTCAATATCTAACGCTTTGAATAATCTCTGCCGTTGATGGTATTTTCACAATCACTGGTTCTACCTGAAATAAGTAAACACAAGAGAAAGTTGTGTTGGAAAAGCAATAGTCACTTTATGTTTAAATTGTAAACACACTACAGAATATCAGGTATTTTGCTTTGATTCACGTAAAAGGGTAACAGTTAAAGAATCATTCACTTCTCTTAGGTTGCCAAACACTCGACAAAGTCTCGTGTTTGGCAACTTAAAATCCCTATAACTCTGTATAAAGTGCAAGGGCCATAAACTGTATATATTGTATCATAAGACGTGATATTATCATGAGACAATCTGCTATCCCATAAGGTATTCATGTTAAAATTGTGTAACTGTAGATGACACGGTACATGATATATGGCCCGGACAATGTGACGGATAGTGAACAAAGGGCCATAACTCTGAATATCGTTTAGCACAAGACCTGATGTAGGTGTTTGCCATTCCGTCACCCCAAGAGATACTCGCATACAAAATGTGTCAATTATGAGTTAATGAGTATATCAGCGATGCTCCAAACAGATAAGAACATTGACTGACTGACAGACAGACTGCAATTGTGTAGTGTTTGCTTGTCTTCTTCGTTAGTACCACAGGAGGTCTCATTCAGGTCACATTGACCTATTTTTTGTGTACAACACTCAAACTTCACCATCTACATATTTTTGTAGGCCAATGTATTAGGTTAGAGGCTCCTAGAAGGTTTACAGACGTTTTGAGTTGGACGATGGCAGATGTCAAAGGTCAAACCTCCTATATCTTAACATGTATTTACAAGTTTAATTATATATACTCTACTCACCGAATGTTCCTCCAGCAGGGAACGAACATCAAGATGTGCTATGGATGATACGCTCGACATCTCAAGAAACGTTGATGGTGTTGAAGAGATCGATCCGTCAGACTGGGCTGCAGAACTTTTCGCTTTCACCATCAAATAGCAGTCAACGAAAAAGCCAAAACACCAGATGTAGTTACATATATATATCACAACAAACGATACTCAAACTGACTTCAGTCGGATAGAAATTAGGATATAGAACAATATGTCTAAACACCGTTTACTGACTGTGACGATAGTGACGCCGGAAAATGGCATCACCTTATGAACCTAATAATTATTGCACAAGCTAGCCGTTAAGCGTTAGCATGGTTCTTTAAATTTACGTCTACCTATGGAAAATGATACCTTTTATTCTCTTCCCAAATATGAACATCAGTTATCTTGACAATTTGCTATACATGTAGATAGTATCGGAAAGTGTCGAAAGAAAAATTGTCACTCAATTCCAACCTAAATGTAAAGAGGGTGTCGGAACCTCGAAATATACTCTGCTCTACTCCGGATTCTATATAATATATGGTATAATATCCACATGTCAATTTAAGACCAAACCACAGTGTATACAGATGTTTACGATAGAGTAGAGTTTATTGAGACAAACAATGTGGAGCAGTCAACATTTCAATTCAGAATTACTGGTAGGTAAAAAAGAGCATACTGTAAAAGGCTACATTTTCGTGGTGTGGATATGTTCACAATTTTAGCGCGTAAATTCCCGCGAAATTACAGAAATGTAGACAATAGAATTAACAACTCGAAAAATTCCACCGCATAATCAGTTTAAAGACTCGGAACGCAAATATTTTCACACACCAAAAGTATCCACTTTTACAGAACATAAGTAGCATGGAAACTATAAAACACTTTCAGTTCAAACAGGAACCGCGGGAATATCAAATGAACGGATAGCTATCACAAAAGTGGATGCACAAACAAAAGTTCAAGAAAATTATTTATGAATTATTACCTATAAGTGCGGCAGCAATCCTCTTCTCTATGGTCACATGGTCTGGTGTAGCAACAGTTTCTACAAAGACGAAAATATAGCATGCATTGTTCGGACATTACAACAATACCACAAAAATAAATAATAAATAAAAATGAATAATACGAATTAGTTATGATATCAAACTTCCAAAGAATGACGACACTTTTATTTAGCTACAAGAAAAAGAAGAATTTATCTAAATGTGTTCGCTGATTGCGAGATATTGCTGAAAATCTCATGCATACATGTGTAGGATATCGTGAAATACGTTAAAATAAGAGATCCACTTACTTGTATTTTTTCAAAGTATTATCCATAGCTAGAACAGAGATATTACATTTGTAAGAATAATAATAGCAATGGCTGAAAGTACTGTTAAAGGAAAAGTAAACAAACCTATATTAAACGACCTTCGAATTGCCCACATCAATATCTGAACCACCAGAGTGGAGAATGCAAAACATCTGAAGATAGAAAGGAGATTCATATTTTAGTCGTATCAAAATTTGCATGCTACATTTAGCTAATATTCATGAGGTTTTAATTTCGTTATTTTCGCGAATGTATCAAAATTCGCAAATTTTTGTACCTCGTGAAATATTTAGATCGTAGACATAACATTCAGGTATCACAAGGCCTTGATTGCAGTTGAGTTGAACCTCCTTAATTCATTCACCCCTGAAACTTCATAATGAACTATTCAAATCTTTGAATTGGAAGAGTTCAAATGTGTCTTCATGTGTGAATGAGGGGTTTCTTTCCTTGATTTTCTTTTCTCGTCAGTTTTTTGTGTCTTACGGTTTCGATTTAGAGTTAAAATTGTGTCCATAATTGATATCGCTATTGTATATTTTTTTCTTAATTTTACCTTCAGTATTGGGTATAGCGCACTCGCCTTTCACCAAGTCGACTGGGGTCCCCTGATCAGACGTGAAATGATAGCCTTCCCGTCCGCGTGTACTTTTTCCAGGTACTATGGTTTACTCCCATACAAAACTTCCATATGCACTTCCGAGCCAACAATAGTGATTTTAAAAAGTTGATGAACTTGTCTAATATCTATTTTGTTTTATATATTTACGCCAATGGTAAATATGAAGTTGAACATGTTTGTGAATTGAAAATTATACCTACCCATAGACTGCTATTACGGAGGCGTAGCAAATCAAAAACACATTCCACTCTGAAAAAGGAAATACTTTGTAGTCTACATCTGTGCTGTTTAAAAACTTAAAAAGTCAGTAAGTCGTGTATTCAGATTAACCAAGATAAATTACTGTTACAATTGATTAATGGAACCCAAGCTCAACACTTTCTGCCTGTTGTGTTAGCTGCCCGTTATACTGTATTACACAGAACAAACGTACATATCAATGTGTAACGCCAGACCAACTTCATTGCAATATATCTATTTGTGTATTCGTTGCACTCTACCTCCTACAAAATCAGAAGTTTTTTTGTTTATTTTGCTAAGGTGACTCGAATAACCACGAATAGACCTGCTGTATGGATCCAATTCCGTTTGTTTCGTAAGAGGCGATAATTATCAACAATAAAAAAATGTATTAAACATAAACAAAAAAATCGACAGAATCTTTTACTCGAGTGTCCATTTGCAGTTTAAAGGCATTGCATGATCTATACAAATCGTTCTTCGTATGTCCTCATAAAGGATAAATCAAAGCTAATCATGACCCTCCTGACATCTTTACTCATGTCTCTGTACGTACAATTTCTTTCTGTCCTGTTCTGTAGACAGCTCTGGTTACTTACTCCGTCCGTTGTCAGAATATTGTGACCGGGTGGGTTGTGATACGCTCTTAGTAAGGCTAATCATTACTAAACACATGTATAAACCAGCGGGTATGCTTAAAGCTTCAAACCGTCGTTGTCAATATTACAAATATAAGTAGTATATTGTCATTCTTACCTTGGTTATCGTCCATCGCCGTCATCGACAGGACTGCTTTCTGAAAGATAGGAAGTTCTCAATCAAAACAATTATGGAGGTCAAAAGCATAAGAACACTGTAATTTGCTGTCAAAAGTCTTCTGCTTATCCACAAATGCATTGTTGATCATTAGTTTAGTTATGACATGCAATATAATTATGACATTCTAATCTTTGTTTATTATGGAATATATTCATGATATGCTAAGTTTTGTTGATAATGCATATTTAATATTATATATAAACAATTGAAAAACATATCCTTCAGTAAACGTACGTGTTTTAACGACAATTTTCTTTTTCAGTATATTCAAAAATCGTTGACAATGCTCTCACATTTTAAGTAAACTAAATTTGATATGTCTACACTACCTGTATAGCGTACTGCTTTATTCAAGATTGTAATACAGAACTTATCTATGACATTAAGTATGACTATTGAGAATAAATTGTATCACGATTTATAGATTCATACCGATAACCCTAAAACATGTTCACCACTTTTCATTTTACTACACATATCTTTAAAACAACACCATTTGAAAATCTGTTTTAGAATATCATTCAGCAAGAGAGAATTTTGGCTCCGAAGGATGTTGTTAACAAGAAACTATCAATATGGAAAATTGTCCTTTCTTACTTTTGTCAAAAAATGTATAACAATGCGACTTCCTGAGATGTCTTCTAACTGATAGAGTGTCCATGTAAATCTCCTTTGTTCATCTTTTGCCTAGTTTTATCTATTTCTTATTCGAATTATGGTATTGTTGGCACTTCCGCACTCTTGTTGGTTTTGTTTAAAGTCTTTATATAAAGTAATACAGGACTTTGTTAGCCATAGTCGGTTATTGTTGACAGCAGTTTAACTCAAAGTTTAGGTTCAGCTCAAAACAAAGATCAGATTACAATGTTGGTCTTATAAAAGCAATCGATTCAACGCTGTTTTCCATAAAATTGCTGAAATATTGAAATTTGAGCAGGAAGCCAGGAGAGAATAGAGATTTCATTGCTTGATTACGAAAGCTTCGTAAAAAATCGTAAAACATACTGAATAATATAGATCATAACAACTACAAGTCTGCTTGTTTGATTTGTTCCTTACGTCCTTGATATATGTTTGACAGACAGATAAAGAAACTTAACTGAGCGGCGGTACCCATTGCAAGCAACATCTGCAGCATTTATCATTTCTTTTTTCTCCACCAACTCTTCCTCTTCTTGTGAGCCACGTGTGGCGCAGAAAACGCCTACCTTTCCGGATCATCAGGTTCCGCCTCCATGATCTGTAGGATTTCGCTTTCTTTCATTTCTTTTTTGATTTTGTGTCCCCAACTTTGTTGAATTTCGATATTCTATTCGTACTGTGTACCGGCGATATGACTAACTGTTTGAATTAAGAATTGGTATAGTTTAAATTGTTATAAATACGTATCTTGTGTTTTTGAAATATGTTACTAACTTGTTTTAGCTTAATCCGGATTTTTACGAATGATGTGAGTGTGTGTGTACATGTAAAATGTGCTGTCATGCGTTCTAGCTCTTGTATTGGATCACACTAGTAGGCTACTACAGGAAAGCATTCAGGTAACGCCTCCCTGTCATTCTTATTCCTCGTATATTGTGTTAATTCTCACTTATATTATCTGGATACGCCTCCCTGTCATTTTTATTCCTCGTATATTGTGTTAATTCTCACTTATATTATCAGGTTACGCCTCCCTGTCATTCTTATTCCTCGGAATATTCATCAAGTTTACAATACTCAATATCAAGAATAACATATTGTTTATGCGGCATGAATGTAGGGGAAATGTAAATTGGACCGGACAGATAATCTCTCAAATTCTTTCTGAATGTTTATATTTTATGTTTCTAAATAAAGCGACAGTCATTGCAACTATTTCTAGCTTGGGCTTTTCCTATTATGTCGACCAGGCTATTTTTACGTCTTTATTTATAACCGGCGGTTTGGTTTATACTGTACCTAGCTGGTACAAAAGCACACATTCATGTAGTCAAAATTAAATACCTACATATATATAACATCAAGCAATGCATGAAAACATTGATACAACTTCGATAGATATATACTTTGCACATGCATGGCATTGATAAAAACGAAATCACGTACTAGTATATCATACGTGGGTTATATATCGTAACAACAGATACTAGCTTCACCTATGAATACACATATACTAGCAAAGGGTGTATTAACAGATGAGGTTAGTACACATATCTTAACTACGATTTTAATGCAAGCTAGAACTTATTGAAAAAAAATACGTTGCGTGGAAATCATATATAAATACCTAAAAGTTTATTGACTCCCAATCGAGCACTCAATCCGACTGTGCGTCTCGCTTACGATTGATTCGTCTCACTTCAGACTGTTTCGTCTCACTTCCGACAAATATTTAAAATGTTGATTCTCAAATATACAACTAATAAATATTTATCAAACAGTTTTTCTAAGTATCTCCGTTGTTCCGTGTTTGATATGAAGCACGACTTCGAAATTTTAGGTCGTCGTTATACGCCTTTTCGCGTCACAATGTTTAAATATAGTCTGATCATTTTGTGTGGGATTGTGTGATAACGTACCCTAACGGGGACCGGGCCTGACCAGGAATACATATTTTTCTCATGTTTTAGAGAAATATGTAATGAATTGTATCAACATATGACAGGGTTACACTACGCGAAATTAATTGATAATAATATCCAATGGAGAGTTATTTTTCATACAATTTATTTACGCATACAATACTTATGTATGTGTGTATGGACTTTCCGTATGTTTAACAGAGATTTTAGACACCTCTTTTAGTGAAATGCTACATTTACTTACAACAGTCACTGTGTTTTAAGGGTTAATCAAATTGATATTTAATATTCATTAAGGTCGTGATAAATTTGGAAACATAATTTATTTTGAAATGAAGTGATATGGTCGGGCATATAACCATATTATGTTTATGTATGATTTTTCACCAGAAATCGCAGCATTGATTAAATGAACTTGATAACAATAGTTCTGCAATTAGTAAAAAAACATTTAGATCTTCCAAACACCATCACATAAACCAAACACCATCACATAAACCAAACACTACCACATAAACCAAACACAATCAAATAAACCAAACACCATCATATAAACCAAACACCATCACATAAACCAACCACCATCCCATAAACCAACCACCATCACATAAACCAAACACCACCATATAAACCAAACACCATCACATAAACCAAACTCCATCACATAAACCAACCACCATCACATAAACCAGCCACCATCACATAAACCAAACACTACCACATAAACCAAACACCATCACATAAACCAAACCCCATCATATAAACCAAACACCATCACATAAACCAAACTCCATCACATAAACCAACCACCATCACATAAACCAACCACCAGCATATAAACCAACCACCATCACATAAACCAAACCCCATCACATAAACCAAACACTACCACATAAACCAAACTCAATCAAATAAACCAAACACCATCATATAAACCAAACCCCATCACATAAACCAAACACCATCACATAAACCAAAAACTACCACATAAACCAAACACAATCAAATAAACCAAACACCATCACATAAACCAAACACCATCACCTAAACCAAACACTACCACATAAACCAAACACCATCACATAAACCAACCACCATTACATAAACCAACCACCATCACATAAACCAAACACCACCATATAAACCAAACCCCACCACATAAACCAAACACCATCATATAAACCAAACACCATCATATAAACCAACCACCACCACATAAACCAAACACTACCACATAAACCAAACACCATCACATAAACCAAACTCCATCACATAAACCAACCACCATCACATAAACCAGCCACCATCACATAAACCAAACACTACCACATAAACCAAACTCAATCAAATAAACCAAACACCATCATATAAACCAAACCCCATCACATAAACCAAACACCATCACATAAACCAAAAACTACCACATAAACCAAACACAATCAAATAAACCAAACACCATCACATAAACCAAACACCACCACATAAACCAACCACCATCACATAAACCAACCGCCATCACATAAACCAAACACCATCATATAAACCAACCACCACCACATAAACCAAACACTACCACATAAACCAAACTCAATCAAATAAACCAAACACCATCATATAAACCAAACACCATCACATAACCCAAACACCATCACATAAACCAACCACCATCACATAAACCAAGCACCACCACATAAACCAAACACCATCACATAAACCAAACCCCATCATATAAACCAAACACCATCACATAAACCAACCACCATCCCATAAACCAACCACCATCACATAAACCAAACACCATCACATAAACCAAACTCCATCACATAAACCAACCACCATCACATAAACCAACGACCATCACATAAACCAAACACCATCACATAAACCAAGCACTACCACATAAACCAAACACAATCAAATAAACAAAACACCATCATATAAACCAAACACCATCACATAAACCAAACACCACCACATAAACCAAACACCATCACATAAACCAAACACTACCACATAAACCAAACTCAATCAAATAAACCAAACACCATCATATAAACCAAACACCATAACATAAACCAAACACCATCACATAAACCAAACACTACCACATAAACCAAACACCATCACATAAACCAAACACCATCATATAAACCAAACACCATCATATAAACCAACCACCATCACATAAACCAAACACTACCACATAAACCAAACACCATCACATAAACCAAACACCATCATATAAACCAA